GTGGAAGGGAGGGAGAACGATCGTTTACAAAACCCGGTCGAAGCTATTTTCGTCTCGGATCAGATAAAATTTAGTCGGAACACATCGATCGGAAATGGGCATTAGTGTATGGAGGATGTTTGAAAATGTGGTAATCCGGTTGGTTGTTTCATTCTGTTTGCATGGTTTAGTTGAGTTCAGACGTTTTGTGTAATGCAAAAAAGCACCAAAGTATAGAATTAGAATGCGTGAGCGGTTGTTCTAAAAAAGGGAGGGTTCTCACTACATCGAACAAGATGACATATAAATTATTAGTTTAAATTAAACGTGTTTTTTGGTGTGTTTCAATCGTTACAGACACATGTCTGTCTTTCTGTCTCTCGGTCTCTTTATCTATCTGTCTGTGCATCAAGCATGCGATTGTGGAAATAATATTCCAGTTTTAATACGGGCACACTGGGTTCTGTTTTTTGGTGAAGTTTCTTTTATGGGGTTGAATTCCCCAAGCCCATGGAACAGATCGGGAGTGTCTATTCCAGCTTCGTATAAATACACTCACTATCATCTAATACTGCTCACGATCCTCATTATTCGTAATGTATTTCGAATATCCCAGTGCATTAAATTACCGGTTTAAAAGGTATAAACAATATGTTTGATTTTTCGTCCATCAATCAGTGATTGAAAACGGAATATTCAGTGATATGAGAAAGAAAACACTAGTGCTCATGCAGCAGTGACTATTATTTATTCAAAATTGCCACCCGAGACAGAATCTTAACACTGCGAGGGAGAGCAGTGCATTTGGCTTCTACAGTTTTCAATATTACATCTAATCCAACATGTACGCTACATAATGTTGAACGAAAACATGGAGTGAATGAAAGTATATGTGTGTTTCATTCCGTTCTATTGCTACATCGTTTTGCTTCCCGTTTAACATAGATGCCAATTTCCTATCGACCAACAACTTGTTGTTCACCCTCGAGTGTGGCGATGTTGTGTCTACCAGTGTGACGCGGGGAATATCGGTCAATCAATTCCAGTGAGACAACACATCAAAAACCAAACTAGTGTTCTCATACTTTGCATCGTTTGCAATCAGATCACCCTTGAGCACGTCAACGACCCGGGGATAGGAAGCACCAAGGGATAAAGATATATAAATAAAAGGGGCGACTAGATGTCTTCATTGTTTTGTGTGCGGCAATCACGGAAGACGAGGGGAGCAGTAGTGAAGTGCGCGTTAGCATAATTGTAAAAATAAATCCAAAAGTATCGGATTGAATACTTTTAACAGACTCTACCCTGAGGGACTTTTATAGCCCTTCTCATAGTTCAAAGATAGTCAACCGCCTGTTTCATTTTGCTGTTTTATGATTTATATGATATATGATACCCGGACAAACTTGCACCGGGGATTCTGCTTAGTTATAGTATGAACTGGTCCGGGTCAGTACCACCGCCTAGCCATTGGGTCTTATGTAGTTCGCCACTCCAAGTTTCAGGGCTAGGTTGCCGTTTACTCTCTCATCTCAACATGAATACTACAACAAACAGGAACAATTCTCAAGCACATTCTCAATCGACAATTGCACTCACTAACGTTCGCGGCTTGAATCATAATATTGATTCTGTATGTCAAGTTCTTCAGTTCACTTCTCCTCTATTTTTATCCGAAACATAACTTTCGGCTTCTACAGATATCACGCATCTTCAGCTTCCAAATTATTCCCCTCGCCCTTCGTTCATTCCCAAAGCTAGTGTTTGTGCTTTCATTCATCATTCAATTGTTTCTACTCCGTTCATCCACTTAAATCTCACCAACCGCGAGTTCCAGACTCTGTGGCTGAAACTTCGGTTCCCTTCTTTTAATCACTACTTCTGCACTGTGTACCGTTCCGCAAACAGTAATGACCCTTCACTCTTTGATGTTTTATCGGCAAACATAGATAGCATTGTTAAAACATACCCCAACGCTCGGTTCACAATTTTGGGTGATTTTAATGTCCATAACAAGGATTGACTGTTACATTCTTCAGAGACATCGTCCCTTGGACGTGAAGCAGAATCACTTGCCTTATTGAACAGCCTCCACCAACTGGTTGATTTCCCAACCCTTATCGCTGACCGTACTGGCGACCACGCTCATACCCTTGATCTTGTCCTCACATGGGACCATTGTCTTATTCCACTTTCTACTCAATGTTCTTCCCAATTCTAGACGCACATTCTGGCGTTACGGTTCCACCGACTGGTGCAGCTTTCGTACCTTTCTGGCTCCTTACCCCTGGAGTGAATGTTGCTTTTCCACCGATGTCTCCATCTCCGCTTCNTTGTAAGGCATGCATCTATTTATTCCTTATTTCACTAAACCCGACAAGCCTCTTTCTCCAGAATGGTTCAACCACGCCTGTTTTCACACTGTCCGTAAAAATAAATCAGCGTTACGCCACTAGCGTCGGTCACCTTCCTCCAGCTCCCGCCAATGGTTCTTGTTAGCACGAAACAAATGTACAACCATCATACAGAAGGCTAAAGAGCACTTTGTTGAGCGCAGTGCAGCACAATTGGCGACCGCTCCTTCCGGAAGCCTGACGTTCTGGTCACTCGCTAAAGCATTCTCCCGTAACTTCTGTTCCACTAACTTACCACCCATTGTTAAAACATTTGGTGACTTAGCATCCAACCCGCCGGAAAAATCAGTGTTTGCTTCCAATTTTGCTTCCAATGCTACCCTTTTTGGATCGCCCATCCAACCCTGCACACACCCTATGGCAAACCATCTTTTCGCAACGCTCATTTCCACCAGAAAGATACGTCAGATTCTCTTATCGCTTATCCCTTACAAGCCACCTGGACCTGACTTGATTCCCCCCATCGTCCTCAAAATGGGCGCCCCAGAACTGGTTCCCCTCCTACGTCGCTTATTCCGTCTATCTCTTAATTACGAGATATCTCCAACCCCATGGAAAATATCATAATTATTTCCCATCCCCAAATGCGACGACTGCTCTGACCCAAACAACTACCACCCCATTTCTCTCACACTAATCATTTTGAAGGTTATGGAATCTGTTGTTGCTGATCAACTCCGCCACCACCTGGGACAGAACAATATGCTTAGCGACCACCAGTACGGTTTCCGATCACATCGATTTACTGGTGATCTTCTGACTCTCATTTCGCATACATAGTCAGCGGCACTCGACAACCACAGGGAAACCTATGCGGTGTCATTGGATATATCGAAAGCTTTCGATCGTGTCTGGCATGCCAGTTTGCTGGCTAAACCACCCAAGCTTGGCTTTTCTTCGGAACTTGTATCCTGAATAGCAAGCTGCCTCAAGGACCGCAGCATCTCCGTTAGAGTAGATGGGACCATGTCTCGTTTAGTGATGACCTTCTTTCTTCTACTTCAAATCCTTTTCACGCCTTCGCCGATGACGCTTCTCTACAATCTTCTTCGTCATGTCCCTCTTCGCGCATTGTTAACTCTAACATTAGTGACGACTGCTCCTCCCTTAGTTTCTCCCTAAATTCTGATCTGGGCCTTATCTCTGCTTGGGGCTGTAGCAACCATGTTCTGTTCAATGCCGGTAAGGCTTACCTTATGTCCATTTCTCTTAAACACACATCTTCCTCGTCTTCCTTGAATTTCAACTCCAACACTCTCCGTTCCACAGAATCATGCAACCTATCGGGTCTTTCCTTATCATCTTCTCTTTCATGGTCACCTTATATTTATCTACTTTTTCCCCGCGCTACGCGCCAGACGAGCCTTCACCCCATTCATCTCCTCTTGCTTTACAAAGCTCAAATTCGCTCTACACTTGGATACTGCAGTCACGTGTGAAGCGGAGCTTCGTCTACCTCACTGTATCTTCTTGATTGAG